TTTTTTTTTTTTTTTCCCCTTTTTTTTTTTTTATTTATATTCTCCCCTTTTTTTTTTTTTATTTATATTCTCCCCTTTTTTTTTATTTATACTGTCTCCTTTTTTTTCTTATTTATACTGTCTCCTTTTTATTGTCTCCTTTTCTTATTTATATTCTCTCCCTTTTTTTTTATTTATATTGTCTCCTTTTCTTATTTATATTGTCTCCTTTATTCATTTATATTGTCTCCTTTTTTTTTATTTATATTGTCTCCTTTTTTTTTATTTATACTGTCTCCTTTTTTTATTTATACTGTCTCTTTTTCTTATTGTCTCTTTTTTTTTATTTATACTGTCTCCTTTTTATTTATACTGTCTCCTTTTCTTATTTATACTGTCTCCTTTTTATTTATACTGTCCCCCTTTTTTTTATTTATACTGTCTCCTTTTTATTGTCTCCTTTTTTTTTGTCTCCTTTTATCTGTCTCCTTTACTGTCTCCTCTAGTGTCTCCTTTACTTCCTCTGCCTTCCTGCTGCTGCTGCTGCTGCTGCTGCTGCTGCTGCTGCTTGCTATCACATTTACTGCTGCCCCATTACCTGCTGCTGCTGCTGCTGCTGCCACTGCTGCTTCATTTCTTGCTGCTTCTCCATTTGCTGCTGTTGCTGCTGCTGCTGCTGCTGCTGCTGCAGTGAATCCTCCAGCAATAAGTTATTGTAATAATAAGATGACTATAGAGGAATATAATAAGAAAGAAGGGACATATGCTGCTGTACAAGAACTTATGGCCTCCCCTGGTAACCAATTGTCTCCTTTTTTTTATTTAATTGTCTCCTTTCTTTTATCTACCTCGTGCTGCTGCTGCTGCTGTTATTTTGCTGCTCTTATCGTGCTTCTCCTGCTGCATTTGCTGCTTGGTTGCTGCTGCTTTTGCTGTTGTGCTGCTGCTGCATTTGCTATGCTGCTCCTGTTGCATTTGCTGCTGCTGCTACATTTGCTGCTGCTGCTGCATTTGCTGCTGCTGCATTTGCTGCTGCTGCTGCTGCTGCTGCTGCATGCGTTATGTCTGCAGAGTTTCAGGCATTGAAGGCTCAGCGGGCATCACAAGGCAGCGAGGCATGGAATTGGCAGCGGAGAGTAAAAAGATCTGCTGCTGCTGCTGCTGCTGCTGCTGCTGCTGCTTCTGATTCAGAGGACGAACTATTAGATTCATCAGAGCCAGAGGGGACAGATACAGAAACAGAGACAGAGACTGCAGCAGCATGAGCGTGCTGCAGCAGCAGCAGCAAAAGCAGCAGCAGCAGAAGCAGCAGCAGCAGAAACAGCAGCGGAAGCAGCAGCAGCACGCAGTAGTTCTTGCTGCTGCTGCTGCTGCTGCTGCTGCTGCTGGGGGGACAGCTAATAGTGAGGCCTAAGGGAAAGGAGACACTTTTAGTGTCTCCTTATTGCTAGATAGGGATAATAAAAGGCCGCAGAAGGTGCTGTGTCTTGCTGCAGCAGACAAAGTCTGCAGCAGCAGCAGCAACAACAGCAGCAGCAGCTGCAGCAGCAGCAGACAACGTCTGCAGCAGGAGCATATTTGTGTTGTTTGCTGAGGGGGGGGGAAGGAGGAAAAAGGAGACAAAAGGAGACACATGGCTGTCTCCTGCAGCAGCAAAGTGTCTCCTTCCCTTCTCCTGCTGCTGCTTATAAGGACAAGGGCGCTATCCTCCTGTAGGAGGATCGACTTTGCTGCTGCTGCTGCTGCTGGGCACTGCGGGCAGCAGCAGCAGCAACAGCAGCAGCAGCAAACAGCAGCAAGAAGGGGGAATTGCTGCTGCAGCACCGCCCCACCATCTTGCGGCACTTTATTTTGTTTTTCTTAATCAGTATACACACAAAAAGAAAAAGAGTTGCTGCTGTTGCTGCTGCTGTCTCTGCTGCTGTTGCTGCTGCTGCTGCTGCTGCTCACAAGGAGTATTCTATTATTACCTGCTGTGGGGACACAGCAGCAGGAGGAGTTAACAAAGCCTATTAGCTGCAGATACACCGCAAGAAAAAGGAGACACTACGTAGCTAGTAGCAGCTACCTACTGGGGTCGTCTCCCCTGGGATCGTCTCCCCTGGGATCGTCTCCCCTGGGATCGTCTCCCATGGGATCGTCTGCTCCAAGGGTTTAGGGTTTATAGGCAGAGGATATAAAGGGGACTTCCTTATTATTAACAGCAACATAAGAAATAAATAGAGACACTGTCTCCTCCCTCCCCTGTCGCCTCCCTCCCCTGTCTCCTCCCTCCCCTGTCTCCTTTCTATCTGCCTCTCCTCTATCTGTCTCCTCTATTTGTCTCTCTTGTATCCGTCTCTCTTTTCCTAACGACTAACTGGTGTCGGGAAGGTTCTGTTGCTGCTGCTGCTGCTGCTGCAGCAACAAGATGGTTACTAGTGCAGCAATATATAGCTCCTAATATTCAGCTCAGGTGCAGCAGCAGCAACTGCAGCAACAGCAGCAGCAGCAACACAGCAGCAAAGGGAAGGGAACAATAATATATATACCCCTAAAGGAGACACTCTCTTAGGGGAAGAAAAGTTTAAATAGACAACTCATGAAAACATTTTGCTGCAGCAAGCTCTTGTCTTGCTGCTGCTGCTGCAGCAGAAAGCTGCTGCTGCAGCAGCAGCAGCAGCAGCAAAAGTTGCAGGACAGACAGAGAGCAAACTGCTGCAGAGAAGGGTGTTGTTTATTTATATAATTATACGGTTCCTTTATCGATGCCAAGCAGGCACCGTCTTGCTGCTGCTGCTGCAGCAGAAGGTGCTGCTGCTGCAGCAGAAGGTGCTGCTGCTGCAGCAGAAGGTGCTGCTGCTGCAGCAGAAGGTGCTGCTGCATGTGTTGCATGCGGCAGGAGCAGCAGCAGTTGCAGGTGCTGCTGCTGCAGAGGCAGGTGCTGCTGCTGCAGAGGCGGGTGCTGCTGCTGCAGAGGCGGGTGCTGCTGCATGTGTTGTATGCAGCAGGAGCAGCAGCAGTTGCAGGTGCTGCTGCTGCTCTTTTGAATGCAGCAGCAGGAGCAGCAGCGGCAGCTGCAGCAGCAGCAGCAGCAGCAGCTGTACATCTTCTTCTTGCCTGGTGTCTCCTCTCTTATAGAGGAGACACCTTAATGTAGCTGCCTAAGATTCTCTATCTGCAGCAGCAACTCATCTAATGGCGGAAGAGTTATCCCAACCTCCTCAGCAGTCCTGCAGCAGCAGCAACAGCAACAGCAGCAGCAGCAGCAGACACAATAAAAGAGTTGCTGCTGCTGCAGCAGCAGCAGTAGCAGTTACTCCTAACAACAACTACCGCTACTCCTAAGTGTATAAGAAAGAGGCAGGAGACACTTTCTCTCCATGTATGCATTAGTGCATGCATACATTACTGCATGCATACAGCAGCAGCAGCAGCAGCAGCAGCAGCAGCAGCGCTTCTTACACTCTAGCAAGCTTATAGATTTCTCTTTGTTCTTTTGGCCTTAGCAGCAGCAGACGCTCCAATACATCGCCATCTATAAATCCTTTAGAGGGAGGAGACGATCCCAGTATACTGTCTCCGTATAAGCCAGTACTACCTACACGTGCTGCAGCAGCAGCAACAGCAACAGCAGCAGCAACAGTAGAAGCAGCATGATGAGAAGGAGCAGCAGATGATATACCATACATATGCAACAACAGCAGCAGGAGAGCAGAGAGAGACAACTATTTAGGATATAACGCATGCATGCATGCATGCAGCCACACACATACAACGCATGCATGCATGCAGCCACGCATACACAATGCATGCATGCATGCATGCATGCATGCACATGCACTCCTGCCTTAAATCCAATAGACTCAGTGAGGTATGCTACTGCTTCCTCAAGGATGGATAGGATAGCAAGGACAACACATACAAAAACCAATGCATGCATGAATGAATGCATGCATGCATGCATGCAAAAACATATACATGCATGTATGCACTCGTGCACTCTCTTGCATACACTCCTGCATGGATTCCTGCATGCATGCATGGACTCCTGCATGCATGCACTGCTGCCTTACATCCAATAGACTCGGTAAGATCTGCTACTGCTTCCTCAAGGATAGATAAGATGGCAAAAGTTTTAGCTGAATTAAATTTAAAGAAAACACCAACACTTCCTTCTGCTGATATCCATGTACGTGTATATAAAGGTATTATACTCTTTCCTTGTTGTTGCTGATGATGATGATGATAATAATAATGATATTGTTGCTGCTGTTGCTCGTAATAATAGTACTCCTGATCCTGCTGATCCTCCTGATCCTGCTGATGCTGCTGTTGCTGCTGCTGCTGCTGCTGCTGTTGCTGCTGCTGCTGCTGTTGCTGCTGTTGCTGCTGATTCATATTGTTGTCGTTGTAGTGCAAACGATGTCTTGTATGAGGTAGTAGACTTGTGTTGTTGCTGCTGTTGCTGCTGCTGATGCTGCTGCTGCTGCTGTTGCTGCTGCTGTTGCTGCTGCTGCTGCTGCTGCGGAGCTGCATACTCTCTCCTACTATACCACCTAATGCTTCTGCTCTTGCTGCTGCTGCTGCAGCTGCAGCAACAGCAGCAGGTGTATCTGCTGTTGCTGCTGTAGAGACAGAAGTAGGTGAAGAAGAGTATGCATATACACTATGTTGATACAAACTACTGCTGCTGCTGCTGCTGCTGTTGCTGCTGCTGTTGCTGCTCCTGACTAGTCCCTCCTCTAAATGTAAGGTTATACCCCCATGAATAAATTTATTCAAGGAGACAGTTGTCTGCAGAGCAGCAGCAGGAAATAAACGTACACGTTGTGAATCACTTATACTATATTCTAATAAAGATTCTGCTGCTGCTGCACCTGCTGCTGCACCTGCTGCTGCTGCTGCTGTTGTTGATGATGTTTCTGTTCCTGTTTCTCGTCCTGATATTCCTGCTGTTGTTGCTGCAACTCCTTGTTGCTGCTGTATGTTGCTATTGGAGCTATCTGTTGTTGCTGCTGCTGCAGCAGCAGCAGCAGCAG